GCCAGGCCAGGCTGGGTGGCTCGGGATGCGGCTCTGCCCTGTGTGCAGGATCCACACAGGTTATTGCTTAACAACATCCCCCCTGCCCTGGCAGTGTGTGTGCACTGCTTCCATGCTTTATTTCCTATTTTTTTCCCCTCCTTAGCTGGATCAGAAGCAGAGCTCTGCTCCATCCAGCCTGTCTGGGAGAGGAGGGGAGGATTCCTGGTGCATGCTCAGAGCGCTGCAGCCTCGCCCGGCCTCCCCCGAGCCCTGCTGATCATCACTGCCTGTCATGTGGCACATGGATCCAGCGTGCACAACTCCCGTCCCAGCAGCAGCCACGCCGGGTGTGAGCAGTGCCAGGGGGACAGCAGCCTGGAGAGGGATGTGTGGCGGTGCCAGAGCCCTTGTGGAGGGCAGATAAGCTTCCTGGAAGCTGAGGCTCTCTGGAGAGGGATGGGGGCTGACTGCAAGCTCTGTTCAGGGCTTGGCTCGTGGTGTGGCTGGTGGCACTGGGATATGTGAGTGGTGTAAATGGCAGCTGCAGCAAGGACCCACAGGGATATCACTGCTGATCAGAGTAATCCCTGGAGAGTTCTGATAAGCAGCCTGGCACAGTCGATACAGGGATACTCTATTCCAGGGAAATAACAGCAAGTTAAAGATTCCCATCAAACCTTTATTTTCTCCCCTTGGTCTATTGTGTTTTTCAGTGCAGTAGCTTGGTTTGAATACCCACAGAACACAGCACTGGGGTGACATCTGTGTGTCTGTGTGGGTGACATCTGAGCTGGGGTCGTTCAGCCTGGAGAAGAGAAGGCTCCAGGGAGACCTCGCTGTGGCCTTCTAGAACTGAGAGGTGGCTTACTGAGGAGAGGGAGAGCGACTTCTGACATGGGCAGGTGGTGACAGGACAAGGGGGAATGGATTTGAACTAAAAGAGGAGAGATTAGTTTGGATATTAGGAAGAAATTCTCCCCTGGGAGGGTGGGCAGGCCCTGGCACAGGTTGCCCAGAGAAGCTGTGGCTGCCCCTGGATCCCTGGAAGTGTCCAAGGCCAGGTTGGACGGGGCTTGGAGCAACCTGAGCTGGTGGAAGGTGTCCCTGCCCATGGCAGGGGACGGAATGAGATGAGCTTTAAGGTCCCTTCCAACCCAAACCACTCTGGGATTCCATGATTTCAGCAGGGGGATCAGAGCCCAGGCTGCAGGCCCTGCTTTCCACAGGCAGTGCCGAGGTGATCCTGGGATCCAAGGAAGCACGAGAGCAGGGCTGGTAAATTGGCTCTCTCAGGCTCTGATCTGACAGGCTGTGTTTGCTCAGATGATGGGACACGGCTGCCTTTCATCCTCTGGAATGAAATGTATTTACTGTGCAGGCTCCTTTCAGGACAAGGCTGGTTTATTGGTGGCTCTCTGGGAAGCAGTCAGCACTTCTGTGACCTGTTCTTCCATAGCTGAGGAAGAACAGGCTTCAGCAAGCCCTCACCAGAGGCTGCATAATTAGTGGCGTGGAATTTACCTCATTTATTGCTCTGGAGGAGCTGAAATACATTAGACGTGTCTGTCAGTCTGCACACAGGCACAGTGTGAAACACTCTGCTCTAATTTAATTCATTTTAGCCAAAAGTAAGTCCTGGACCAGTTGGAGAATGTTAATGTTGTTTTTTTTTCAGTGCTGTCTGACAGTGCAAATGCAAAGGCAAATCTCTGCTCTCCTTCCCCTTTTCCTCTTGGAATGGCCATATGGAAAAGAGGGAGCGTGGCTTCCTCCCCCCCCCACCCCCCCTTCCCGCTTGGGAGTCACGGGAATGAGCTGTTATGAAATGGGGAAAAGGAACTGGATCCTGACAATTCCTGAATGAGCAGCTGGAGGAGTGACGTAATTGCAAGGGGCCGGGAGAAAGGAGGAGTCATCCCCGAAAATGAGGGAAAACAAAACTGTGTTTAGGAAAGCTGAGCCCTCCTTCCTTTTCCTTCTTGGCACTGCCAGGTACAACTTCCTTCGAAGCAACCAAACTCCTTCCTGGCCAGAAAAGAGCAGTTTAAAGACTTGATTTCCAGTCACGTGCAGCCATCTTATGAAATAACCCCTGGCTCTGCAGTGGGGCAGAAAATCTAATAAGCAGGACGTGGAAGTGTCATCACATGGAAATAAATACGGAAATAAATATGAAAAGGATAAAGTTCTGTCTGCCAGTGGCACACGTGAAAGAAGCAGAGTCAACAGGGATGAAAATAGCTCAGAGACCTGCTTACTATGGTCTCTCTCTCTCTCTCCTGATGACCTCAGTGAAGTGGGAAGTCAATATATCCTGCTCAGAATATATTTTTGCCCCTGTGTTGTGCAAACTGCCTGGTTTTCCTGCTGTTCAGGTGATGGAAGCAAGGACACCGTGGCTGCTTTGGACTGTTACCTGTGTATGGAGACATTTTCCCAAAACCTGCCAACATCTCCTGGAAAAAAAATTGTTCTCCTTCAGACTGTGATGTTTTGAAAGGACAGAACGGTCTCTGCTCCTCTGCACTGGTGGTTGCTCTTTCCCAGCAGCTGAACTGGAGGGAGGGGGAAAACCTGGGAGGTCCCATCCAGGCACCAGGAGGTGGAATGTGGCACCAGCTGTCCCTCTGGAAGCAGGAGGGCAGGGACTCTGCTCAGTCCTCTGTGCTGCTGCATCTCTGTCAGACAGGGGAGGGTGGGATTTGCTGTCAGGTGATTGTTGGGAGCGGCAACAAGTGCTTAGAAAATATGTGAAACATCTCTAGGGTGTGACCTCCTCCTGTCTGTCTTGCTCCTTGTTAAAAAAAACACAACTTTTCTTTCACCTTTAAGAGTTTTAAATCATGGAATCATGGAATGACAGAATGGTTTGGGTTGGAAGGGACATTAAAGCTCATCTCATTCCACCCCCTGCCATGGGCAGGGACACCTTCCACTAGCCCAGGTTGCTCCAAGCCCCGTCCAGCCTGGCCTTGGACACTTCCAGGGATCCAGGGGCAGCCACAGCTTCTCTGGGCAACCTGTGCCAGGGCCTGCCCACCCTCCCAGCCAGGAATTCCTCCCTAATATCCCACCTAACCCTGCCCTCTGGCAGTAGGAAGTAATTTCTGATTGTCCTGTCCCTCCATGCCTTGTCCCCAGTCCCTCTCCAGCTCTCCTGGAGCCCCTTTAGGCCCTGCAAGGGGCTCTCAGGTCTCCCTGGATCCTTCTCTTCTCCAGGTGAACCCCCCCAGCTCTCCCAGCCTGGCTCCAGAGCCAGGGAAATAGGATTCCAGCCAAAATCCTGGTCCCACTTGCCCTCTGTGTGGGATTTCTCTGCTCTGGGGAGGTGGCACAGCTGTCTCACCCCAATGCTTTACTTAGAGTCAGGAATATTTCAGTTTAATTTGATTTACACATTTTTTCCTGCCTCTACCGTGAGTCACATCCTATCCAAGGCTCTCTCCCCTGTCCTTTCAGTGGAACTGCACAAAGAAAATAAAACTCGGGCTTGGTCAGCTGAGCAGGGCATTGGGAAACACCAGGAGAGAGAAGGGATTTCCTGTCCTTTACATCCCTTGCAGTGTGGCAGTGCTTCAGCAGAGCCCCAGAAGCCTGTGGCCCCTTGGCACCTGGCCATGCTTACCTGTTGGGAATTCCTGGATGCTGGAAGGGCTGTTTGCTGAGAGACCTCCATTTTCAAGCCATTTGGCAACGTGTGCCTGAATCCTTGGATTTGAAATGGGAAAGTGTTTTTTTTTTTTTCATCCTGGAGGCCCCTGACCAGTGACACAGGGCAAGGCCTGCTGTTTGCAGGGATTTTAGTGCTGCAGGCTGGTGGAGAATCCCTCTTTTTATTGCAGTTGGGACTTTTGTTGGGCTAAAAAAACCTCCAAGCACTGGGAAGAAAAGATCTTTGTCTTCGAACTGTGAGCAAAGAAAGCTCGTAGTGTATGTCCAAGAGCCCCCAGAAATCCCCTGGCAACCAGGCTGCATGATCCCAACACTTCCTTGAGGGATCTTAGGAAATCAGAAGCCCCAACAAAAGAGCTGCTGTTATTTGAAATATGAAGTTTGTGCCGGAGGCTCCTTTACAGAGAGGCAGGGAACGGGCAAATCCCGTTCCTCTTGGAATTTATAACTTCACGTGCACACACACACACACACACAGCCCTTCTGCTTTGGAAGGGCTGAAAGCTGGGTCCCTGAGGGCTCAGGGGCTGACACAGGGGCTGAGGGGGTTTATCTTGAGGCAGAACTTTGGAAAGTTCCAGCCCGAGCCAGCGAAGCGGGAAATTTGTGTCGGAATGCGGGGGAACTTTCCGTCACACGCTCCTTTCCCTGCTGGCAAGGAGCTCTCACGAGGCTGGAGGTGAGCTGACCGGCATGATTAATCACCCTCAGCACCTCTTTCCTGGGCTGGAATGTTTGGAGAGGCGAGGAAAGGAAAATTACTGGAGCTGGCCTGCTCCTTGCAAAGCCCGGGGCTGAAGTGTCCGGGGATGGCAGGTCCTAAAGTGCATCCAGTTCCTGTGAGATCCCCCTCTAAGGCTGGATAATCCCTGCAGGCACAGCCTGGGCAGCAGCTCCACTGGGAACTGGGCCATTTCCGAGTGGGAAAGCGAGCAGGGCCTGTGCTTTGTGCAGGGTTCCCACTTGGGAGCGGAGAAGTGGCTTTTATCGGGATGGGTTTGCGTCTTCACGGCCTGGTGCCTGCTGGGAGCGTCTCAGGGGATGCTGCTGATGGCAGGAACACTGGATTGCACTTGGAGCATCAGTGCAGGCTGCACATGGAGCAGGGACAGCGCCCATTTTTGAATGCAGGGAACAACAGGGTGATCTGTTCTCCGTGTCAGCTCTCCTAGGACAAAAAGGTAACGGGTGTGTTTTGTCAAGGGAGGTTCCAGCAGGGAGCTCTCTGCCTGCAGGGACCCCCTGGCAAGGAGGATGATGCCCTTTTGGGATGGATATTTGGGCTCTCTCACCCTGCCCAGCCCAGGAGAAGGAACCAACAGCTCTTGTTCTCCCTGTGCCCACAGGCAGCTTTGCAGACAAGACCTACGAGTGGAGCTCTGAGGAGGAGGAATCCGTGAGGAAGGCAGGGCCGGTGCAGGTGCTCATTGTCAAGGATGACCACTCCTTTGAGCTGGATGAGGCCGCCCTGAACCGCATCCTGCTCTCCGAGGCCGTCAGGGACAAGGAGGTCGTGGCCGTGTCCGTGGCCGGAGCTTTCCGGAAAGGGAAGTCGTTCCTGATGGATTTCATGCTGCGTTACATGTACAACAAGGTGAGGCTGCAGCTCTTCCCAGCCTTCTGGTGCTGCTCCCCTGTGGTGCTCAGGGAAGAGCTGGACAGGATTTGGTGCTCCAGGAACGCTCAAAGCCTCTCCTTGGCCTGGGCTTTACAGAATGAAACAGAGCAGATCCTTCCACAGCCCTGGGCACCCATAGGTCTCCTGTGGAATCTTCACTTTGGAGTGGGGATGTTCACACCTGCTGCCCTGAATCATGGAATCAAGTTTGGACAAGCTCCCTGAGATTGAGTCCACCCCTTCTGGCAGCGCTGCCAAGGCCACCACTAACTCATGTCCCCAAGTGCCACACCCACACAGCTTTTGGACACTTCCAGGGATGCTGACTCCACCACTGTGCAGGACAATCTGTTCCAATGCCTGGTCACCCTTTCCATGAAGAAATTTTCCCTAATATCCATTGTAAACCTTCCTTGGTGTAACTTGAGGCCATTCCCTCTCCTCCTGTCCCTGTTCCCTGGGAGCAGAGCCCGACCCCCCCGGCTCCCCCCTCCTGTCAGGGATTGCAGAGCCAGAAGGTCCCCCCTGAGCCTCCTTTTCTCCAGGCTGAGCCCCCCCAGCTCCCTCAGCCCCTCCTGCTGCTCCAGCCCCTTCCCAGCTCCATTCCCTTCCCTGCACACCCTCCAGCCCCTCAATGTCTCTTGTCATGAGAGGCTCAAGACTGAACCAAGGATTTGAGTTGAGGCCTCCCCAATGAAAGGAAGGAAAAAACTCCCTCACTTGAAATTTAACTTCCTAATCTTTCCATAAGGAAATCTCTCCAACACTGTTCCTCTCCAGCACAGGGGACAAGTGTGAAACCAAAGTGAGACAAGAACTCACAGGAGCTGCTTCTGTTCCTCCCTGCAGGATGCTGTGGACTGGCTTGGAGATTACAACGAGCCCCTGACCGGTTTCTCCTGGAGAGGAGGGTCCGAGCGGGAGACCACCGGCATTCAGATATGGAGCGAGGTTTTCCTGGTGGACAAGCCCGACGGGACAAAGGTGTGTGTGTGCCTCCTGGTGGTGCTCAGCTCGTTCTTCCAGCTTTTGAGGCTCTTCTGCCTTGTCTTAGGGTGGCTGTGAAAGCTTAGGGAAGTTTTTCAGTGCTTTGTCCCTGATTTAGCATGGATGGGTTTAATGCAGTGAGGTGATGATGATGCCCAGGTGTCCCTGCTGTGTCCTCTCACTCTGTGCATCCCAGAGTTTATATATGTACTATTCCCACTCACCTTGGATCTGAGCTCCTTGCAAACCACTCCCCTTTCCTGGAGCAGCAGCTGTAAAATGGAGTTTCTCCAGTCAGGGTGGTCAAATACAATGCAAAGTGGGATTCTGGAGGCGTCCTGCAAATTCCACTTGCAGGAATATTTTGTATTTGCCTGCTCTTTAACGCAGAGCCCGGCATGAAGCGACACTGAGTCGTTCAGGGTGTGATTTTTGGAGTGGCTGAAGGAGTTCTGGGTTAAGGAGGGGCAAGAAGTGTTTGGTTTCTATGACACAAAGCTGCTGCAGACTCAGGAATAGGCTCCTCTGCACTGACAGCGAGTGTTTGAGGAGCAAATTAGCATTGATAGCCTGCTGGAGTCACCCTGCTGTCAGGGCGTGGCTGGGGCTGCTCTTTCCCCTTCCCCTCCACCAGCAATAACCCCAAGCAAAGGCAGTGAGATCAGATTCAGCTGACATTCCCCTCACACACACACACCCCCTTTGGCAGGTGAGGGTGGATTTCCCTGGATCCCAGGGGGTGCTGACGTGGAGCTCTGTGCCCCGCAGGTCGCGGTGCTGCTGATGGACACGCAGGGGACCTTTGACAGCCAGTCCACCCTGAGGGACTCTGCCACCGTGTTTGCCCTCAGCACGATGATCAGCTCCATCCAGGTGGGGAACCTCTGGGTTGGGGGGGGTATGGGATTCGCTCCCCAGGAACCCTGGTGCTCCCAGGGCCTCTCTTGGACCACACCAGTCCCTGCCTGGGACTTTGCCTGTGGTGTTGAAGGACAGGCTGTTCTGAGTGATCTGAAGTTGTTTTTTTTTTTTAATTTAAATGCAGGTTTATAACTTGTCCCAGAATGTGCAGGAGGATGATCTGCAGCACTTACAGGTAAGAGAAGAGAAGCTTCAGGGTGACCTAACTGTGGCCTTGCAGGACCTGAAGGGAGCTGCAAGAAAGATGGGAGAGAGACGATTTACAAGGGCCTGCGGTGACAGGAAAAGAGGGAATGGCTTCAAACTGACAGAGGGCAAGATTAGATTAGATATTGGGAAGGAATTCCTGGCTGTGGGAGTGGGGAAGCCCTGGCACAGGTTGCCCAGAGAAGCTGTGGTTGCCTCTGGATCCAGGTTGGACAGGGCTTGGAGCCACGTGGGATAGTGGAAGTGTCCCTGCCCATGGCAGGGGTTTGGAAACAGATGATCTTTAAGTTTCCTTCCAATCCAAACCATTCTGGGATTCTGTTCCGTGATTGTAAATTAGAAGCCTGGATGTTGCCATCTGGTACTGGCTCAGTACAGTTGACCCCCCTCTCCCCCCCAAGGGTAATTCCAGCCCTGATTGTTGGAGAAAAGCAGCTAATGGGATTTTTGTGGCACAGGTGTCCTGCCCATTTCCTGGAATTACCTCCTGCTTTCCCTTCTGTTTAGGTGATTGATTGATTGATTGATTAGTTAGGTAGATTTTTTCAGGAGCTTAAGGAAAAGGAAAGAAAAGCAAAAGTCCAGCAGAAAAAAAAATCAGCATTTGAAGACTTCTGAATTATTTCAGCCTGTAAATATTAACTAACAATAACACCTTTTCCACACTGGATTTATCCAGTGCAACTCTGATCTTCCAGTTTGGATTTTAAGCCGTTATTGCTTAGCAAGTTGACCCACTTTGAGGCATCTGTGAAATACATTACTGTGCCTTCAGTTTGCAATTAAGAGTCCAGAAAAACTGGAGAGTCTTCAAATCCTGCTTGTAGGCTGATTTTGGAGCCTTTGCACAGCGGGAGTTTGCAGGGAAAGTACTTATTCCTGACTTCATTTCCGCTCGTTCCTGGAGTGTTCGGAGGGAGCAGGGCTCCAGCAGTTCCCTTGGAGCACGTGAAGGTTCTGGTTGGTGTGAGAGCAGCAGCAAGCAGCTGATTAGAGCCATTTTTTGCCCAGATTTGGCGGCCAAACCCTGCAGGCTGAGACCTTGCACGTGGGGGCTCGGCACGGTGATTGTCCCTAACGGCTCGGGGAGGGGAAGCCCAGAGCCAGTTTGTGTTCCAGCTCTGCACATGGAGCTGTTAGTCCCGGATCATAAAGGTCCCTTACTCCTTCACAGAATCATAAAATTCCCTGAGCTGGATGGAATCCACAAGGATCGTTGATCCCTGCTCAGGACACCCCAACAATCCCACCCTGTCCCTCAGAGCATTGAAAAGGCATTCCTGCAGCTCTGGCAGCCTTGGGGCTGTGCCCGCTGCCCTGGGGAGCCTGTTCAGTGCCAACCACCCTCTGGAGGGAGAACCTTGTCCTAAAATCCAACCTGAGCCTGCCCTGGCACAGCCCCAGCTGTTCCCTCCAGTCCTATCCCTGCTCCCAGAGCAGAGCTCGGTGCTGTTCCCGGCTATCCCCCAGCCCGGCCGGGCAGTGACCGTCCCGTTCTTTCCTTCTTCTTCCAGCTTTTCACCGAGTACGGCCGGCTGGCCATGGAGGAGACATTCCAGAAGCCTTTCCAGGTGAGTCCCGGCCAGCTCTCTTGTCCCTGAGCCCTTTGGCTTCACCACGAGGTGTCACTGCAGGACGGGAGGAGCTGGGATTGCCCGGGGATGGGCTCAGCTGCTCCAAGGAAAGGGCTTTTGTGCTTCACTGCCCCCAGAGAGGCTTCCAAACACTTCCAACATCCCTGCCGGAACCCTTGCCTTCCCAAGAGCTCTGCCCTGTCCTGCCAGGCTCGGAGAGCAGTTGGTTTTGCCTCAGGTTTGTCACACTCTGCACAGCCTTTTTCCAGGGAATCCCTGCTCCTGGCAAAAGGAAAGGATGAGGATTAGCAGAGCTGTGGGAAGGCTCAGTTTAAGGGAGGGGGTTTCAGTTTCAAATCAGGGACATCTGTTCACCCTGCTGCTTCCCAACCTGTGGAAAGCTGCTGTTCAAAAAAAAAAAAAAAAAATGGAGAGCTTTGGGGGCATCCACAGTAGGTGAGGGGATAGTTGGATGGGGGTTTGTGAACTTCCCAAAGTGGAAAATAGCAGGGAACAAAACATTCAGGGTGATTGGGAAGGGTTTACGGCTATTTTACATTTGCTTTCCAACATAAAAAGAGAATTGTTGTCCTGGAAGGACAGCAGGTTTATAGAGGGGTTTATAGGCTGTCTGTGGTCAGGAAGTGGAATTAAAAGGTTAAAAATTCCGACAAATGGAGATCTTGGGGGAATTTTAAGGGCCTACTGGATGCTGGCATGGGCAGGTGACTGATAATGGCTGTGAAAATTACCAGTAAAAATACAGGACTTGTGGTAGCAAGAGCTTGGAGAAAGTTGTAACCTGGTACAGCAAAAAGCCAGATGTTAAATAAATATCCCTGCTCCTTATTCAAAAACTGGGGGGATAATGCAGCCAAATATTCCAGTGAGAGTGAGATACTTCCTACTCCATCAGTAAAAAGGAGGCTGAAAGGGAAAACTTAAATATGCTTAAACCATTAGGGCTGGATAACAGGCTCTGATTTGACCAAAGACTTTAATTGCTGCCAAGTCACACAGTTTGTGGATGGTGAGTCTTGTCAAACAATCCCATTATCAGTTTTTAAAAGACACGAGCTTGGTTGATAAAGGTAACTCTCACCAGGATGTGTCTCCTCCTCTAAGCCTTATCTCCCCAAGATGCTGATTAAAAGCAAATGAAGTCAGCATTGTCTGCTTTAGCCCATTGTTAATGGATTAAAAACTCATTAACTGATAGATGCCAGAGCAGGCTGAACTAATTTCAATGGGGAATCATCATCCTTCAGAAGTGTTTCCTCAGGGTCCCCCCGGGGGTTCTCTCTGATTCAGTGTCATCTTCAGGAATGATCTGGGGCGGGAAATATCAAACAGCTGCTTGTGGAGGTGACAGAATCTGCTGGAAGGATTGGTGGGGATGTGGCCAGGTGAGCACTGGAGATCTCCCAGTGTGGGCTCCTTCCTCCAAAACATGTTTTTAAAGACAGATGAGGTTTTCTTATTAGAAAGCAGGAAAAATGAGGGTGGGCAGGCCCTGGCACAGGTTGTCCAGAGAAGCTGTGGCTGCCCCTGGATCCCTGGAAGTGTCCAAGGCCAGGCTGGAGCACCCTGGGCTGGTGGAAGGTGTCCCTGCCCACGGCAGGAGGTGGCACTGGATGAACTTTTAGATCCCTTTCAACCCAAACCACTTCGTGATTCCATGATTCTCCAAGGATGGTGGTAAAAAACCCTGCAGTTGCACTGATCCTGCTGGAAGGGAGGTGAGACTTGGCAGCGGAAAACCAACATTTTCCTTCAGCTCCCTCCTCTCCTCCTCACACCGAGGAGCCCTCACCGGGCACCAGCCCTGCCCGAAGTGCCCTCACAGAGTGCTGCCTGTCACTCTGCTTGGCAAACCCAGCCCATCTGCAACAACTTTACTTGAGGGAGGGGAAAAAAAAAAAAAAAATCATTCTCAACTCAAGGAGTGCACGAAGAGTTTGTGGAAAAGTCCTAAACACGGACACATCTCCTAAACATCTCCTGGGCTTCGAAAGAACAGCCTGTCCCCAGCCAGCTCACTGGGTGCAGTGCTTAGAAACTCACTGTTCCCTCTCCTTTTTATTTTTATTTTAACCTTTTTGGATGTTTTATGGAAGAGAAATAAAGAGCAGAAATATTTTCCCTCCCTCCACTGGATTTTTGTTCCAAACGTTTTTAGACAAATTTTAGGGAAATTCCAGTGGAATGGACTCCACTTGCTGACCTGCTTATCCATGTGCCCTGCCAGACCCTCCTGGACTTCCCCCTCCAAGCCCTTTATTTCTTACATGGGTTGTTTGGTCCCTTGAACAGATGAGACACTGGAGACCTGATTTCCTCTGAAAATATTTCATTTAGAGGCTCCAAGTTGACCGTTCTGGTATTTATTTATTTCTTGCCCAGGAACTTCGAATGCCTCGATGAAGATTACAAAAGCCAGCAATTTCTTATTCACCCTCGTTCCTCTGCATCTGCTTCTCATTAAAAGTCTGGCTGGAAGGCTGCCCAGTGAAAAAAGCTGGAAATAAAAAATAAAAAAAAGAGCCTGCAGAATTCCCATAGGATGGGACTAAATGTGGCTGGAATTAGGGAGCTCGCTGCCTTTTGTCCTGGTTACCAACAACCCCTTCCCTCGCTGGGCAGCGTCAATGACTGATGATGCTCTCCCAGCTGGGGAGTCCAACTGGTGCTGCAACAGTTTGGGGTGTGCTCTGCACCCTTCCTCTTGTCTGCACGGTCTCAGTGCCGTGATGGGGTGGCAGGAAAGGCAGGAGACGCTGCTGGAGCTGGGAAAAGACTCGGGATGAGGGTTTGTTGTGGCGTAAGATGGGGGTGAAGGTGCTGGTGGGGTTTAGCCACCAGCGTGGACTCCAAGCAGCAGCTCACTGTGACTCGGTGGGTGCTGAATGACACTGACCCCACTGTTCTCTGGCTCTCTTTTCCAGTCCCTTATATTCCTGGTTCGTGACTGGAGCTTCCCCTATGAATTTTCCTATGGATCTGATGGCGGTGCAAGATTTTTGGAGAAGCGGCTGAAGGTATGTTCTGTCTGCTCCGGGTTCCAGGCCAGGTTGGGCGGGGCTCGGAGCAACCTGGGATAGTGGGAAATGTCCCTGCCCATGGCAGGGGGTTGGAAATGGATGGTCTTTAAAATCCCTTCTAACTCAAACCATTCCATGATTCTGGAATCTGCCATCACTGGGTGTCAGGAGTGAACTGCAGTGCTGGTGATGGTCCTGCTTAGCCAGTGCCTCAAAATCACAGCAGAGGCATTTTGGGAGGATAAATTTCCTTGCTGTGTTCAGTGGCTCCCTGGAACTCTCTTTCTGGGAAAGGCAGTGGATTCCCAAGAGACCGGGAATGATGTTTCAGTAATAGGTAGTTTTACACAAAAAATGGTGGGCAAGGGCTCCAGTGGGATTAATCAGGAACTGAATGGGTGATTTGGGAGTGGGGAGACCTAATTAAAGGCAAGACAAGAAAGGCCCTGGTGGGAAATCCCAGATGTTTTTGTATTCCAGTCATACACAAGCATTTTCCAAAGGATAATAACATGCCCCAGGCCATGTGGGCAGAGATGCACCAGTTCTCTGGGAGACCCTTGTCTTTGTCCTTGTGCAGCAAATCCCTAAGGAATGTCCTTCTGTGTTGCTTTTCCCTGCTCTAAGCAGCCACAGTGGGGAGCATCCCATGCTGCTGGCCCAGCATTATCCCAGCATTCCCAGCAGAAGGAAAATCCCTCTCCCCAGGCTGGGGGAAGCGAAGGGGCAGCACCCATCTCTTTGTGGTGACCAAAGGCCTGAGGGAGCAGCTGGAATTGTGTCAGGGCAGGGTCAGGTTGGATCTCAGGAATAGGTTCTTCCCCCAGAGTGTGGTTGGGCCCTGGAACAGCCTCCCCAGGGAAAGGGTCATGACTTCAAACCTGCCAGAGCTCAAGGAATGCTTGGACAACGCTCTGAGTGACAGGGTGGGATCGTTGGGGTGTCCTGGCAGGGGTTGGACTCCCTGATCCTTGTGTGTCTCTTCCAGCTCGGGATATTCTGTGATTTCTTGTTTCTTGCAGGTCTCGGGAAATCAGCATGAGGAGCTGCAGAACGTCAGGAAGCACATCCATTCCTGCTTCACCAAAATCTCCTGCTTCCTCTTACCTCACCCCGGCCTCAAAGTCGCCACCAACCCCAACTTCGACGGGAAGCTGAAAGGTACGAAGGCAAAGCTCTGGTTTTTAAGCTGATACATCTTAGATGCCCTTGGCAGAGTGTCCTGCTTATTCCTGAAACCTCTTTAAGTATTTTCCGTGAAAAAACTCCTGGGAGAGGAGTTGGATCCTCCTCCCAGTTATGTACACACACCCAGCTGCTTCTTCCCAGTCCAGCAAGACAAACATGGGAGGCAAAAAAAAAGGTGTGGGAGGCTGAAAAGATCTGAGAGCTGCTTGGCAATACCCACTGTCAGGACACTGATAGGCAAACTGGGAAGGGCAGGGATGAGACTGGAAGTTTATGGACCTGCAGTTAATTCCTGTGCCTCACCAGGCTGCAGCCTGGTGCTCGGGAGGGTGGAAGACCGGTTCCACGAGACCTTGAAAAGCTTTCCAGGGAATATTTCATCCTCCTGACTTATCTGATCAGTGGTTTCCCTCCAGGGCACACTTAAGTTCAACAGGTTAAAAAAAAAAAAAAAAAAAGCAGGAAGGAAAAAAAAGAGCCCGTGGTGAGAATTCTCCACCCCGAGAGGAGCCACGTGCCGTGGGTGTTTCGAGGTGTTTGTTGTGAGCTGGGGCTGGTTCCAGGCTGCTGCAATCTCAGCAATGAAGTGGCCCATTAGCCACTTCAGATAAACCAGCAGAGAGCTGCAGATGATGGTTCTTCCCTGCTTTTGTCTGGCCGGTGCTCAGAGTTGTTCTCCGGGAAAACTCCGGTGCCCAGCAGAGGGAGGGGCAGCGAAGGCAGCAGGAGGGAGATGTGCTGCTGGAAACCGAGCTGATCTCCGGAGCTCCCCCTTAATTTCAGCTGCTGAGCGGGACTGAACAAGTGGTTTGTGCAGACAGGGCTTGTCAGCAGCCCCTTGACACGGTTCTCTTATCCCCTCAGAGCCATGCTCAGCTTTTTGAGCTCTGCTGGAGGGAACGTGGGAGATCTTCCCTGCTCCCCTGAATTTCCAAATGTCTGGCTGTTGCACTGTTTTTTCTGTCTTCCGCCCCATGTATTTTAATTCAAATGGCAGCACCAGCAATCCCACCAGTGCCTGAGAGCTTTGTCCAGATGCACCTTGAGCTCTGTCAGGCTTGGGGACGTAACCATTCCCTGGGAAGCTGTTCCAGTGCCCAACCACCCTCTGGGGAAAGAACCTTTCTAGCTGAAGGTGTCCCTGCCCATGGCAGGGGGTTGGAATGAGATTGCCTTTAAGGTCCCTTCCAACCTAAACCGCCCTGTGATTCTCTGATGCCATTTTTGGGGATCTTTTTTTTTTTTCCCCAGAAATAGACGACGAGTTCATCAAGAACTTGAAGATTTTGATTCCTTGGCTTCTTAGTCCCGAGAGCCTGGATGTGAAGG